CATTCCTGTCCATAATTAACTCCACTAAATCTACCATCAGATTGACCTTTTAAAATCTGATCAATCTCTGCCTATGCTCAAGACTTCATCAGCGCTTTCCCTGGGTCTACCATGAACTAAGGATCATATTTTCATGACAGAATTCTTCCATCTCTATCTAACCAATCTCATCTCCCAAATCCCCTATTTTTCATTATGTGTTTCAGTAAAAATTTGTTCAATTGCCACCTTTTTGCCAGCACTGTCAACATTCTAGCTATTTTGGTGTCTTGCCAGTTCACTTGGAAAATCCTCATTCTTAAATGAATCTTGACAACTACTGTTAAGTTCCTAGCCTTGCTCTATTTAAAGCTGCTGCTTAAGAAAAAAATGGACACCACCCTACTAGCTGGCAGGACCACTGCCCTTGATTTACAAGTTTTGTTCAGTACAAGGGCACCCAATGACAGCAGAGCTGAACACTTCTGCACCCATGGAAAAGTGGTTCCTTCCTCAGTACACTTCTTTAGCCAACAAACCATAAAATGACATCCCTAGGAGTCCCAGGTTTATATAATCCCATCCTTCTGAGGGGGCTAGAAACTGTGATTTCCTTTTAACTAATAGAACTTGACAAAGATGAAGAGACTTTTCATATGTAATTAAGGTTCCCAATCAGATGACTTCAAATTAATTAAAAAGGAGAGTATCCTGGGTGGGTATGATTTAATCAAGTGAGCTCCTTAAAAAGTTCAAAAGATTAGTGCCTCAAAGTGGCAGAGATTCTTTTTCTCTTGCTGGCTATAAGGAAAAAGCTTCATAAATTCTAAACCTCAAGGAAATAAATTCTGACAATAACATGAGAGAGCTTAGAAGTGGATTCTTCCCAGGCTGAACCTCCAGATAAAAAGGCAACCTGGGGCCAGCAGGTGGCATGGTGGTTAAGATGTTGGACTCCCACATGACCTACTGTGGTTCATGTACCAGACCTGGCAGCTTGCTTCCTCACTCCCCCCTCCCCTCATAAGCATATGTGCCCTATAGCAAATTAATAAAATAATAAATAAAAATAGTTCTTTTTTTTAAAAAAAGGCAGCCTGAGTGACACCTTGTTTGCAACCTTCTGAGACTCTGAGAAAAAAAACTTTACCATGCCAAATTTCTGATCTACAGAAGCCAGAAGAAAATAAATAGATGAAATTTTTTAAGCCACTAAATTGTGGTAATCTTTTATGCAACAATTGAAAAATAATGTGCTCCTGGGCCAACCAGTGGCCTGGCAGTTAAAGTGGCCGGATACCACATGGCTATGTAATGTGAGTCTAGAACCTAACAACCTAAAAAACACAAAGGGCACACAAGAGTGCCCAAAATCTCAAGAGGCAAGTGACATAGAGGAGGAGAAGGAATTTTAGCATGTCCATTCCCTGTGAAGAGAGTGCTCTCTCACTTTCTCTGTCTCTCTCCAGTGAGCATACACACTCTCTGGCAAATGAATAGAAGGAAGGAAGGAAAAGGAAAGAAGGAAACTAATGCATTTCCACTACTCCCACTCACTTAATAGTCATTTCCACTACTCTTCCACAAATAGTGTTATTGCCATGTTTTTCTGCTTTGGTTTGAATGCTGTGTCCATGCTGAAGCTTCATGTTCTAGTTTTTTAAATGATAAGTATTATTTTTTATACACTCAATTGCTATACATCATTTAGCTTATATAGAGAATTTACCCAAAATTAAATATACCTCAGACCCAGTCCAGTTGAAAATACTATACACTTCATCAACAGGCAAGAAAACATCTGTTTCCCACAAATGTCCTACTTCTCCGTGTTTTCTCTCTAGTG